GTGTTATTTTTAAACATTTCTTACACAAATTTTTATATACTAAATTAGTTATTCCTATTAGAGATTGCAGAATATTGTTTCCATTTGCAATAACGTTTATTGCTAACAATGAAAAACATCAGTTATACCACATGAATTAGATTTCTTTGTAAATTTACTGAAATGAGATTCAATTTCGACCACTGCAGTCGGGATAATGATGCCTGCGCTCTTTCATATTTATGATAATATTGTTTTTGGCTTTCTTTCTTCGTTAATAGAGTGTATGTTTATATTTGTGCCACACCCTTTTGAGCAGTTTCATTAACAGCCTTTAAATGTTTCATAACGACCTTCCTTTCTCACAGTCCTGTCTCAGATGCCCTGCTTACGAGTTGAAATTAAACTCTTGGAATTGTAGAGACATTAGGCTATTTCGAAGCAGGAGACTTAAAAAATGAGCAACGCCTTTTCCTGGACTCGAACCTCGGACCTCTCGAATACGCGTCGAGTATGCTGACCATTACACCACGAATGCACGCTACAAAGGCGGGAGAAATATCTTATACGTTCTTCCTTTTACTGGTGACTGGGGATTAGGGAAGCCAACCGTCAAATCCTGGTGGTGGAGAATCATCATCCATTTCCTTTTTTAGCTCGGGCGCCACTGTAGAGACATTAGGTTATTTTAGAGCAGGAGACATGAACAATGAGCACTGTCCTCGCTGGGACTCGAACCTCGGACCTCTCGATTACGCGCCGAGTATGCTGACCATTATGCTACGAAGGCACGTTAAGAAGGCTGAAGAAATACCTTATAGAATATTAAGGCAGCTAAAGAAATTCTTTTCGCTTTTCCTGTTTTTTTAAAAACAAATCAATGTCTTTGCTCTCCAGCTAGAAAAATGAAGAACTCTAGTAGATATAAATAATACTTCTTGTTGAGAGAAACCTCTAGAAAGTTAATTGTAAGGGCTAGAAATTCTATGTAATTATATCTGACTGGAGTTTCGTAAAGTTGGTTAAATGACTGACACTTATAGAGCCATTAGGTTTGTCGAAGCAGAAAACATGAAAACTGTGCAGTGCTCTGTTTGGGATTCAAACTCCTTCCAAATGCTGGTCCTTCCAAATGCTGGTCGGATGTGCACCTGAAACACGCAGCAAAGAGGGAAAAATGCATTGTACAGTGTCTTTCTCTTCTCGTAATGCTATCTCAAATCGCACCTTATGAGTTGCACTGCCATAACTTCATTTCTTACGTTACATTCTTCACTTTAATCCTCTAAACGCGGGATCTGTGAATAACGTCCTAACCTTTATTTCTGAATATACTTCCTAATCGCGTAGTAGAAAGGGAGATTTAAAATGCAATCAATTTCGCTGGAGGAAAAGGCATTTCTTTTAAATCCTGTTTTGAATTTTGTACCCGCAGTCAGAGGATTAAAATCGTTCAAAAATGGTTGCGTCAGTACCAGATGATACTGTAGATAACCTCCTTTACCTTACTTACAAAGAGGATATGTTAATGAGTTTTAACATGTAGATCTTTTTATAATTTCTGCTAGTACTTAATTGTAACTTAAATGAATGCCAAGTCTAGACACAGTCACTTCTAACTTTCCAGGATATGAAATTCGGGTAGTGAAAACAGTAAAACTTAATCTGGAGTATTAAAAGTGTCACATGTTATATCTCAGAAAGCTAATAGAATATGACTGACCGCAATGAGTTGCACACTGCAAGCAAGAATTCCTTATATGGAAAGAATAGAATTTGTCATCCAACTCTTCAGTCTGCTTTTAGAAAAGAATCTTGGTGGCTAACAAATGGTGATTCGCGGGTTAAAAGGATAATATGTTTGTATATACTTCGTAGTTGAAGAACTTCGTAGTTGAAGAACTTCGTAGTTGAAGAACACGTAGTTGAAACTAGTGTGTATGTTTATGAGATACTAGTAAATGTATATCTGCAGAATGTATGTGATGACACTGTAATGAAAAGCTAAATATTTACTCAATGATATGTAGTAATGTATCACTGAATTAAATCAGATGAATGTGTATGGCAAGTTTATTGGTTTCAATAAACTATTCTTTATTCAGAAAAATAAACATGTTACATATTTTCATCTATGCTAATTTAATATTTTCATAAAATTGAATATTACAAAATAAGAAATACACCCGACCCAAACATTTGCCGAAAAACGGGTCTGTCTTGCACGACCTCGAGTCACCGCGACCGCCCACAAGTGGGCATTAAGTGAATTGAAGATTCCTTCCCTTATGAAGAGCGATTCATCGATAAACAAACACAGAAGCACAGAAAAGGGCATATGTAGCCTATTGTTGTAGAAATCACTGGGCAAAAGCAATCTGAGGGGCATAATCATCCCGGCACTACACGTGAAAGCCCAACTTTGTATAGGTTGTAACTAAAGTACTCGAACTGCACACTCTGCACAAAAAAAGGCGGGCGAGTACTGTATTTATCGTTCTACTGGTCCAACTAAGGAAATTTAACTTGCGTTTTTCATGTCTCGAAAGCGCGACTTTGGATATATATTATATTTATATATAGCACTGTTCTAACCAAATTTGACAAAAATTGTGACTTTTCTGAAACGATATACCGATTTTTTTCCATATTTCGATTCTACAACTCAAATTATGCCTAAATATTAAATTTTGAAAAATTTTGGAGAGAAACTTAACCGAGAAATTTAAAAATTTATCGTGGCATGCTTTTTTTCAGGTTGTGCAAAGAATAATTCACTTCGGGAAACTCTTAACTTATAACATATTTTCCCTTCTCTTTTTTCATTGTGCACGAGCGGAAAAAAGTATGCAGAGTTCATTTGTTCGAATAATTTTAACAATGTGCGTAAAGCACATTTGGCGTTATTATCGTCAAATATGCAAAATTTCAAAACGCGCGTACATATAAATGCACTTGTATCCTTAAAAATTTTGTATAAAAAAAGGTCTAATTTTTTGCAGGTATGCTTAGAAATACATCTACTTTAAGACAACGGTAAAAATTTTACAGGTTATAACTGAAAAATCTTTTAGAAAAATTTATAAAAATTATTGAAAAATATAAATTTTAAAAATAAATCAGAAAATATCTGCGAATTTTATTTGGATTGAACCTAAATTTCGAGTTCGGAAAGATGGAATCAAGTAAGTTTAATTAAAAAAAGATATAATAATAAATATATGTATAATATGCAATTAACATTTAGGAGCTAAAATTTTGAGAGCTATTTTTAAAAAAAACTACTGGTGTGATTTTTACAAAACTTGGCATTTTGGTATAATTTAAGTCTTAAAATCGAAATATGGAAAAAATAGGTATGTCATTTCAGAAAAAGGCCGATTTTAGATCAGAATATCTATGTTAGAACAACGCTATATATAAATCTAACACATAGACTAATTCGCTCTTTCGAAACATGAAAAATACAAGTTAAATTTCGTCAGTCAGCCCAGTAGAACGGGAAATATAAGAACTGTCCCCCTTTTTTTGCAAAGTATGCATGACATAGTACAGTCGTGTTCATGTCTTAGAGTCCGTGCCACTTGTTTCCGAACATATATCTGTTCTCTGGATGGACTGATTTTTAACTAATGGCTTGTAATAATATGTAGCTAGCAGTATGCCTCTTCAGATAATGTTGCCAGTCACAATCTAGAACCACGTACACCAGATGCATTTCGACTAGCTCTACCCATTCGTATAATCAATATCTCACTATCTTTGTGTCAGTGTATGAAATGAAGCTTTACTGCAAGAACACTCTGACCAGCATCAGAAAAGCATTTTTTACTCTGGAGTGTTATGTGATTCCGAGTCGTTCGAGTGCACTCTCCTCACTAGAAATTTGTAACCCCAGCATTGCGACGCTTAGAAAGGAAATCGTTGCCATTAAATATAACGCATTAAAACTATATTCTTCATTACATGTATTTCTTCTAAGCAAGTTTTATTATCCTTTATCCCTGTTCACTCACAATTCACTAGTAGTCAAGTAAGTGGTAAAGTTACTGAACACAGGTAATTTGACATGGGTTCGAATCCCAGCGAAAGGGCTAATTGCATAGGCGTTTTCATTGTTTTCAGCACGTGTAATGTGGATAGGAGCCAGTTTCCCTTTTAAAGCCCTAGCCCTCTCATGTTTTGCCGTAATCAAACAAACCAAACCAAATCAGCTTCTAAACGTTAGAAAATTACACCTTCTAATTAATATAGTAACGAAATAGATGATTTTGTCTTTCTTTCAAGGTCTACTGATTGATTCGACGATATTAGATTACGTTTAATTTAGGTTGAAATTTTCTTAGGTAATTTTGATTAATTAATTAAATTTGGAAAAAATCATCAATAACGGCCAGGTTGTGTTAAAGATTCTGAGCAAATTTTATTAGGAAGATTATTTTCTAATGAATCCGACAGTGCAAAAATTGAAATTTTGAAATAATTAGTTTGATTGTTAATCGAGGGTAAGGGAGAAAAACTATAAAAGCTGCTTCAAAATATTTTATTATTATTACAAACAAGCATGATGCTAAAAAATTCGATTAATTCGGTTAGGTAAATCTAGGTCGAACATCAGTTTCAGGATATGATACAAGCAAACAAACGGAGAATTAAACGAAATAAAAGTATTCAGAAAATTAGCATTAAGGTTAATATTGAATGGACGGAGAAGAAAGAAAGGAAAAAAAAAACCTGATCCGAAGAACCGGAGTGTTATTAAGTTTGAATTAGAGGAAAATGGCGAAAAGGGTGCTGTTCTCACACTCGTACTGAACGAAGGTTAAATAATTTTCGATTCCTTGGTACAACTCACGGCTGTAGTTAAAAGGGAAAGTTTTTTTTTAACTCTCTCCAAGGAATAAAACTGCCCTATTTACAATGAATCGTCCTTTGAAGTGAAGGCGGACAGCACCTTCCGAGGGCGAGGCAGAATTCGTCGACAATCGAAACTATAAACAAAAGTACAAAAGATTATGATATTCTAAACTTGACCCATATTTCAGATGCGTTTCAATCTCGTTTGGTTAGGGAGGAGCATAGCGAGCGTATGCATATAAATTTAGACGACTTCGATAGATCACGTTCTGAACGAGTTCTTTACTTGAAGAAGGCGCCATGTTTAAACTGGTAAGTTGAAGTTTTATCATTCCATGGAATAAATTCTATCATTTAATACCATTTATCTCAGAAGCTTTTCTTTTATGGATTTCTGTGAAATAAATCTTGGGATTTAGGAAGCGTAGAATGTGACATTTGTTATTACAAGTAGGAATTTTTATGATGACTGCTTTCAGCATCTCGCTCATTTTGGGGACTTGTTAATAACTTATGTGTCTCGCTTATACATCACAGATATGGGATTAAGAGGACCTATTTTGCCTGTAAGTTATATCGGTAATTTAGCTTCTTCATTCTTTTACTGGTTTGACCCTTATTTTTTCATTTTTTTAAAATAGAGTGATTGTCTTCGGATAGACTGGAAATACAATAAAGGTGGATTTTAGACTTTCGCCCTTGTTATTTGGTTTGAATTTTAATTTTGGATCATAGTAATACTTGAGCACTGGCCTTGTCAATGCTTTGATTCACAAAATATATCAATTTTTGAGTATTTTGTTATACTTTTACAAAATAAATATAAAATTGTATTGTGCCGACAAAATAAAAAAAATGATTGATCAATAATTTATGCCTAATGCTTGCGATGACTATTCAGATTTAAAATCGAAGACATAGGGTGAAACTTCAGTGTGTGATTTCGATTTCTATGACAAGTTATCCATATGATGATTCTAGCTATGAAATTAGTTCCAATGATCTTAGACAAGAAACTTTCATGGAACGGAATAGGAATACATTCCGTTACTTCCACTTTGATTACCCTTTAGTGCCAGTGCTGCAGCTTAGTTGAACTTTGAGTTGAGTGAAACTGTTTCGAGATTCAATTACTGATGATGATTTGAACGGTATTACGCTTTATAAGCAAATACAGATGCTGAATAGAGTGTTCAGAGCTGTTTTGTTCGAAGGCATTCCGGAAGAAACAATGCAGGAAAATGATATAAAAAGGAAACCTTATCATATATTAACAACTATTATTTGAAACGAAAGAAGATACATGTAAGTAAAAACTTCAAACACAGTGATTGTTCTCTAAAATGACTATCACGTTTTTATATGATTTTGGTTTACCTTCTCAGAAATATAGATAACTTTCAGAAGTGGTAGCCACTGAAGAATTCGTTGTACTCACCCCCCCCGCACAAGTCTGCAATAGTAAAGAGGCCTTTTCTGCCGAACATATCCATTTTCAAAAAGCTAACTCTAAATGGATTCCTGGAGTTTAAATTGCCCAGCCCTAAGCTTTCACCAGAGTATTCTATGTCTTCTTAATAATCACATTATAATAATAAATGTTAAGTTCGTCAGCTGGTGATTAATGACGTTTGACATTAATAGACAGTGTTGCCTATCGAAGATGCGTAAGCGCTGTTATTTGCCTTCGATATTATAGAAATGCGTTATTGAATACAGCGTTAAATTGAAAATCATTTTCATTTCATGTAACATTTTTAACATTTTGAAACAACTGTTACTTTATGCAATGAATGTTATAAACACGACAGATTTTATTTCTGTATTAAGTCTACTTCAAAATTCCAAGTTTTTCTTCATGTGCATTTTATTATCTGCGCTAAAAGAAAAAATGAATTATGATAAAGATAAATTTTATTGCTTTATTTATGATTATTTTTTTAAAGTTCGTTCAAACTGTAATATATGTTTTCGGCATTTTTCTGCTTATACCGTTTTATCCAAAAAGAAATGCAGAAAATATTTTTTAGCATTAACATTTTTTAAATTAAACATTTAATTTTATTAGTTGACAATAGCAGATATTTTATTTATTTCAGAACAGAAACTAAATTCAGAACAGAAATAGAATAGAACAGAACAGAAATTAATAAATTTCAAAACAGAGCATAAACTTGTGATATTTTTATACCTGTTGCATCAGGTTCTTCTATTTACAATAAAATTAATGTAAAATTCCTTACCTGCTGCATCTTCAGTGTTCTCGACGCCAGGCTTCTAATAATCACGTTTTCCAGTAAGAGTTTCTATTACAATTAGCAGGCCATCTTGTCTTTTAATTATTTATTGAAATAAAAAACTAATATACACTATTTACAAGGTAGGTGATAATTATTTTAAAACAGTACATTTTTTAACTCTGAGTCTTTACGCTCCTCAAAGCGGTTCCAATCTCGACTGCTTCTCGGAACTTAATTACAGCAAAAGTAAAGGAAGAGATGCCCGCCACCTAGTGGCAAGAATGTGACATCCTCCCACCTTTTGATTTTACCTCGATAAAATGGGAAAATCAAAACAAAATTTATCAATAATCAAACAAAAAATTCAAGTACAACTTTCACAAATATGAAAAGTAACTAATGCTCTAAAATTAATACTTACAAAGAAGGATTACACATCTAAAACATTTTCTGCATTACATTCATACCATATCCAGATAACATGTTCCAATTGACTACTGTTAGGACAATTAAATTTCTAAAATACTGAAAAGAAACAAAAATTAGTATAGCAATTTAAAAATATGTAAGAGGTTTTACAGTTTTACGTCCATATCTAGTTTGATAGTTCATATCACTGTAACACTTATCCGCAGAGTTTTTTATGTTCATGGTGAAGTCACTAAACAAGTTAGGTCTATCAAGTTCGAGAGGATAAATACGTTTCACAGGTCTTAGGAGTTCACCCGTTGCAGTTTTCACTTTGACAACACGTACTTCGTTGTCTTTCCCAGGATATAGTTCTACAACACGACCTATTGGCCAATCTATTCTCTTCTTGTTGTCGCTGCCGACAAACACCAAGTCATTTTTGTTGATAGTCCGAGTAGATCGTTTAGATGGTTTTTGCACTAGGATAGCTAAATATTCATCACGAAATCTTTTGCGAAAATGTTCTCTTAAGTTCTGCAAGAACTTGTATCTTTTTGTCAGATTAATGGTATCCAGGTAGTCTAAGTCAGGCACTCCGACGTCGTGCACATCTTGTAGAAACATTGAAGGAGTTAGTGCCGTAAGATCATTTGGATCTTCTGAAAGGTACGTAAGGGGTCTTGAGTTGATTACTGATTCGATATCACAAAGTATAGTCAACATTTCCTCGTAAGAGACACAGGACTTGCCGAGAACATTTCTCAACATCTTCTTCACTGTTTGTACCAACCTCTCCCACCAACCGCCCCACCATGAAGCAGTTGGGGGATTAAACTTCCACTGTATTCTCATACTAGTTGAATTACATTCTATTTCTTTCCAATCTATCGATCTTAAACAGATTTTCAGTTCCAACGAAATTAGTGCCATTGTCGCTGTAAATAATACTTGGACGACCTCTTCTGGCAATAAATCTCCTTAATCCCAAGATGAACGCATTTGTTGATAAACTTTCTATCAGTTCAAGATGTATCGCGCGATAGACCGCGCAAGTAAAGAGCAAGATCCATGCCTTTTTTCCTTTTCTTAAATAAAGAGGACCGGCTACATCGACTCCGGTCACTTCAAACACCAGAGCATCTCGTAACTCGATCTTCAGGAAGAGGTGCTGGAACAGTCTCTATATTCTTTGCGCTATATCTTCTACAGCGAACACACTTCATAAGAACTTTACGTACTGTTTTTCTTCCTCTCAGGACCCAGAATTTCTGTCGAATATTGGCTAGTACGAATTGCACACCAGCGTGGGATAGTCGCAAATGGTAATCTAAAATTAACCTATGAACTAAGTCATGATTTGAGGGCAATACAATTGGACAGAGAAAATTTTCTTCTTCTCTCTCTTCTAGTAATCTTGGTCTTTAACCGAATAAGGCCATCTGAGTCAAAAAGGTACAAAGGTTGCTAACTTTAAGTTCTTTGCCAAATGCTTCTATTTGTATTATCTTGCATATTTTCTTTTCTACAGTTTCTATTTCAGGGACCGTGAGTTCTCCTGATTGTTTAGAATCTGGTCTTCTGCAGTTGTTGATAAATCTGCATATCCAAGCAGTTATTCTTAACATTTTATGGTAAGATGAATATTTCTCAAAAAAATGTTCTACCCTTTGCGTATTTAGTGCAGAAATGACTGATTTCCTTTTTTCTGAATTTACTATTTCCATGTCCGGTATTTCCCTTTGTCTTGGCCATTCTTCCTGATTTTTCTTCAGCCAGTCGGGGGCCCTCCCACCATCTAACTACTAAAAGTTGTTTGGCGGTGCAACCTCTTGATGGGAGGTCAGCTGGATTTTTTGTTCCAGCAATATGTTTCCACGTTTTTGGATCCGTCAGTTTCCTAATCTCCCTGACTCTGTTTTCCACAAAGACAGCCCAGACAATCTCTTCCCTTTGAATCCATGTCAAAACTGTTGTAGAATCCGTCCAAAAATGCGTTTCCACATTTTGCCATTGCAAACCATTTAAAACAGAAGAGCATAGTCTGGCACCTATCGTGGCAGCTATCAATTCCAGACGAGGGATCGTAATAGATTTTACGGGAGCTACCCTAGACTTCGATGCTAACAGATGAACTTCAACTCCAGAATTCGTCACAGTTCTCAAGAAAACTGCAGCAGCATACGCATTACTACTGGCATCACAGAATGTGTGAATGCTGCAGAACTTCCTATTGTCCTTGCTGGAATGTATCCAACGTAGGAGGGATATTTCTTTTAAGAGAAAAAGGCTTTTATACCAATTCACAAAATTTTGTTTTGTACTCTCGTCAACTTCAGTATCCCAAGAAATTCCTGTTTTCCATAGGTTCTGCAACAATATTTTAGGATACAAGAGAACAGGACTCACAATACCAATAGGATCAAATATTTTGTGTGTTACAGCGAGAATTGTTCTCTTCGTTATTATACCCATTTCAAAATCTTCTAGCCAATTCAGATTCAAAGTTAAATTATCTTTCTGACAGTTCCATAACAGACCCAATACGGGGTGAAATAGTTTCCTGTTTCAAGGTTATCTCCATTATGTAACCAACCTCGAAGATTAAACTTTCCTTCATTCATTATTTCTCGAGATTTTTCGATGAACTGAATCATCTCGGAT